AAGATGAGAGCGGCGATCCCATTTAAAGTAAAAATGTGTGTTGATTAATCACGTTAAAGAGTCACTTATCATACTCTCTGCCTCCAAGATATCCTCCTCTCGGTCCACAATCTCCAGCAGAGCTGTTAGCATATTTTCTTCAGAGATATTTGTTTACGTGGATTCTACGTCAAAACATACCAATAAATCTGCTTTTTCCAGTGCCATGTTTTTGATTTTTTGATAAAATTCATATGAATCCTTCACCTTGTTTCATAGCCTGTCATTACATTTATTGAATTTCAAACATATTAGCTTTGCCAATTTGTGTGTTGATCCAAACTTGTTGTTGATTACCAGCCTTAGTGGCTCGCCTTTGTTGTGTAGCTTCGCTAATTCGATGGTGCTCAGCGTCCTTTCTTATGATTGAATTTTTCCTCGTATAGAAGTGGTATGAACTTGTTCTCGCAACTTGGTCGTGTTGTCAGGGTGACCTATTTGGATGCAACTTGACCGCATTCCTCTGCTTTAGTAGTTGCCATTATTCCTAAGGTTGAACCGTGGACTCGGTACGTTCCAAAACGTTTCGTCAGCCTCATCAAATCAGTCCTGAAATTATCAGCCCCAAGTTACAACTCATCAAGGAAACAAATGAAATCAGAGAATGTGCAATTTGCACGGTCCGACTAATGGCAACTACTATAGAAGAGGATTTCGGACAAGGTGTATTCAGCAAGGTCGTCCTGACAACACGACCAAGTTGTGAAAACAAGGTCCCACCGATTCTATCAGTGGATAGATGATAAGAATAAAATATAATCGCTTAAGATGATGGAAAAGCATAGTCCTCAACAGTATCAATGAGCTTTGCCTGAGGCTTCACTACTAAAAGGAATAAAAGTCTCCACAACAGCGCTCGACGGCCTATTTATTCGTGCTTATTTTTACTATGAGATGTACTCACCTAATTTCGTTTAAGTCGAGGAAGAAAAGGTAATTGACTTCGCCCAAAAAGATATAAGTAAGCCTTATGTTTTCATTGAATTCCATAAAACCTTGCTTTCCAAGGCTGAAGTGGACTGGAGTTTGAACACCGCCAAGGCCTTAACAACATCCCCAGCGGGACTCAAACCACAACAATGCAGCATGTAAACTCGACACATTAACCACTCCGCTACATTAACACGAGTACCCTTGGGCCACAGGGCAGATGTGAATTTAATGGAAGGCCAGGAATTTTTTAATATCACATTCTGTGGTGGGATTGCTGATTAAGTAAAGTAATATTTGCTATGACAATCAACTATATAACTCATTTTTCATTTATATGTGAGTTTTCTGGACTCACCAGTTTAAGGTCCGTTAGATGGGCCCGTATTATACAGGTAAACGGTTTCCTGTAGATGAGCCCATACAGACCTTCCACCTTTGTATTAGCTTCGAAGCAACAAAGAAAACAAGATATAGACTGTTCGATCTAAGCGTACGAAAATGGGAGATATCATTAGTGATATAGGTCAATTTAATGTAGCGAGTCCACAAGAGATCGATCATCTATTGACGGTAAGAATAAGTCGCATCCATGGACAAAACATACAAGCTCACAAAGCTATCAATAGTTCATGAGAAAGAAATTCCCCTTTCCGTATAAAGTATTTTTTAATTTGGACTGCACCTTCAGCCACATTAAATCAACTCGCAAAGCGGTATTCGAAACCGGGTCGTGGGCGTCATGACAACACAAATCACGGCTCAGATACATAGCCCCATTTTGTCAAAGGGAAAATGTGAATATTCAGGCCTCTTCTAAATCACATTCTATTGTGAGAACGTTGAAAGGGTAGATAGGTTCTTCCTAATAGGCTCGGGGAAGTTACCTGTTTTTGGTTAGTATGCTTACAGACTATCAGTTTGTCATGAATAAGAACTCGTGTCATTGAGGGAAATTTAGCTGGCAGCACAAGTTTTTTTTCATGAAAACAGAATCATACCAAATCTGGGAAGGCGTAAAGTGTGCAGTGAATTGGTATACCAAAGCTAGATCCCTTGCCGAAAAGTCGGCATTCTCGTTTGGAAAGTAGCTCAATCAAACTTTATAATACGTTATTAGCTAAAAAGCTCATCGGAGGCATCCAGGAGATTGTCTATTTCGCAGATTCTAGACAAACCACTTAAAAGGAGCCCTAGATCCCTAATGAAGTGAAAAACAGCATAGAATAGGTGGCTTTAATGAGGGTAGGAATACCTTTTGGTATCTTAATAAGAGTACTCTGGTATTGCCGAAAGCTTTTCATGACGTTGATTGAGGGTACGCCGAGATTCCATGTCCGGCTACATAATCAGACTCATGTTCGTGAAGTTGTGGCCTTGAATAGACTATGTATGGGCTGCAACTACTTACAAACGAATAAAGTAGTCCCTTTGGAGAGGTTTAAAATGCGGCCGCAGAAGATAAGGCAAACCAAAGGATATTGAAACTTGACATTTCGTCAAGTTGAGTGGCAAGTGATGATGCTGCCCCTTTTGCCACGCAAAATTAGTCTGATGCCATTTCGGCAACTTGGTCGTGTTGCCAGGGCGACCACGACGAACTCCACACTGAGCATGAGAATGCACCACGTCCACGGTCCGGCGCTGGGAGGTTTACTGAGGCTGCCGGAGGGTGTCGGCTCTTCGAGGTTGGCTGTTCAAGACACAAGCACGTGGTTACGCAAGTGAGCAAACCGCCCTTGATGTGCAGACAAATGGTCCGGTACCAGATCTTTAGGTCTTCCGGTACATCTGCAGGCGGATCACATTTCCGGGCTCCTCCGAACCACTTGGGTCTGTGTCCAATTTGACTCCGCCAAGCATCTTATCCGTAGCCAGGCTAGCAGAACAATTGTAATCGATTTTTTCATATAGCACCGTTTCCAGCCTCTTAAGCCCGACAAAGAGGGGATTAGTCATTGTCATTGGAGAATGTGGATTGTGCCCTGCTGGACAACCAATCAGAAAGTCGGTTTGCTTATCGCATTTGAAGCCGTTTATCCTTGCACAGAGGGCATATAACAGTCTTACCACTTGCGAAATTTCTCTTTTTTTGCTGTCTGTATTGTAGGGAAAACGTTTACATTAATTACATGCACATTTTGTAGGTAGATCGGCTTTGCGTTGGCCATACGTCTGTTCACGAGAATGCAGAACTTGGGCCATGAAGATGAGCTGATCAGGCTTGGACCACAATCAGGAGTTGTCGCGTGGCGAGAGCCAAACCAATTACTATTGCTGATGACAGTGCTCCGTTAAGAGTAGTTTTCGAGGTTAACTGTGATTGTGCGAACAAAAGTTGGGTTTCGAGGAGTCTATTGTTTCATAATTTTTGAGCCTGCCTCCATTTCGGGTGAGTGTTTGATGAATAAATTCAAAAGCCTTCGATTCCGATGAAAACATGCTAAGCTTTCGTCCATCATATGACTAATTTGGTTGTAAGGATGATACCTTGCCCTGATGATGTTCGTCATACGACGGACGAAAGCTTAGCACAATTTTACCGGAATCGAAGCAGATTACCTCGAAAACAGCGTCACTTTGAGTGTTCCAGTAAAGCCAATCGACAGCTGGTCAAGAGGAATTCGACGTCGTCTTCTGGTGGAATCGAACTTCGAATCTCTTCAACAAACACTATTACTTGAAATGGGGCGTTTCGAATCATGTTTGGGATGCTGAATATACCAGTTCAGGAGAAGTAGAAACTGCAGTCCAGTCCAATCCAGCAAGATGAGATCGTCTTTTGGAAGCCGAGGGCAAGTGAAATCGGGTATGAAAACTCAACTATCAGTCCTTGAATCGCCTTAAGTGACCTGGACTCACTAAGTGGAGTGACTTATTCTGTGGGGCTATCAGTAATTCTAAAATAAGAACTTGAGGTCTAACCTCGTTTTCGCAACTTGGTCGTCTTCTCAAGGTGACTTAGTTGGACGCACCTTGTTCGAAGTCCAACCAAGTCACCCTGACAACATAACCATGTTGCGAAAACGAGGTCAGATTACGTCTATACATCGAGGAGAGACTGTGAACAAAATAGAGGCTACAAAATGTTGGCCTTCGTATCTACGTTTACCCGACGGGCTTCTAGGTTCTCAATCAAGAATGACTAATATTCCCAAAAATAATTCTATCAAGAATCAGTACTGGTATCAATTGTAATGGCAAATACAAGTTTTTCCTCAGCTACAATCCCACCTCAAACGAGTTGGGACAGTTCTGGCCTGCAATGAAGGTCGTAGCTGACCTGTGACTCCCTAACGTAGTGGTGGCCTGTCGCCCCAATGCCCACTATCCAGATCTGATAAGACAGACCCAGATGAGATAGAAACTGACGTCAATTCCATATGAGAAAGTCTGTTGGGAGGAGGTTTAAGGCACCATGAGGCCTACTTATATCACTGAGGGAAAAACTCCTAAATTAGTCCCAAGAATCAGCCTAGGCTGCCTAGGCTGCAACTACTTACAAACGAAATAAGTAGTCCCTTTGGAGAGGTTTAAAAATCGGCCGCAGAAGATAAGGCAAACTAAAGGGTATTGAAACTGGACACTTCGTCAAGTTGAGTGGCAAGCGACTTTGTCGTGATGATGCTGCTCCTTTTGCTACGCAAAATTAGTCTGACGCCATTTCGGCAACTTGGTGGTGTTGCCAGGGCGACCACGACGAACTCCACACTGAGCATGAGAATGCACCACGTCCCCGGTCCGGCGCTGGGAGGTTTACTGAGGCTGCCGGAGGGTGTCGGCTCTTCGAGGTTGGCTGTTCAAGACACAAGCCGGATCTTTACGCAATTGAGTAAACCGCCCTTGCTGTGCAGACAAATGGTCCGGTACCAGATCTTTAGGTTTATCGGTACTGGGCTGATAAAGTTTAGTCGAAAAAGATACTTTCATAGATACTTTATTTTCTCTATATAGCCTGTCCTGTCCAGCTCAGATTAGCAGTGACAAATTTGCTTTTCCTTTTCGAAATAAATGATCCTCCTTGATCTTCATCAGTTGGGTTTGTACGGAAGTCGAGCATCCCCGCCTTGGTCATAATCCTCATTAGGTCTCGGCAATAGATCCCCCGATACATTTAACCTCACTCTGGTTTGTCATCAGGATCCAGAAACGTCATTGCTTCCGTCACTTAGTCAGCTGATGACAGCCACAATTGTATCCCATTATTCTTGATTATTAAGTTTCAAGACTAGCACATCTTGAAAAATAACTGTAGTCCCCCTACAAATATTAAAAGGACTGATAGTAAATCTATTCACAACGAAATTAATAGACCTCGCGATGTCATTGAATTTCACTTAGCCTCACATTGATGAGAATACTTTTGGAAGACAAGGCCAAGTAAAATTAAATAGAATCATAAAGCCTACTTATCTCATCGTGAGAAAATTCACCAACACTCCTCCATCACCTTAAGCAATATATATATATATATATATCAGTCTTTCTTATGCTATGGCCCATCCATCTACTCCATACCCTTTAATCACCCTCCTGACCTATCATAACTTCTGATGGGCTTATATTCTATTCCCTAAGAGGTATGCTTTAGCTAAATCCTATCCTAATGTGAAACTCTATTTGAAATGGCATTATGGACTTCTCGGGCGGATGGGTGTATTTGGTTGTATACAGGGACTAGTTATTTTGACACAGCTTAGTTGCAATTGTATTCAGCATGTTAATTAAGTGAAAATCACATCTCTGCTTAATCTAATGAGCCAAATACCCTATAAGTTTCGACCTAGATTCGGTGGAAACTGAAATCAACCTTGGATGAGAACACCTTTTGGGAAAGCAAGGCTATGCGAAATTCAATGAAAATATCAGCTCTACTCATATCATTGTGGGAAAATTCAACTACCAGTCCTTCATCACCTTAAGCGAAATAGGGTGAACACAACTAATAAATCTAAAAACAAAATTGCTTGCGGATCAGATTCATCTCTTATACTATATATATATATATATATATAAGCCAAATACCCTATTAGTTTCGATCTCGCCTAGGTCGAAACTTATAGAGTATTTGGCTTATTAGATTAAACAAAGATGTGGTTTTCCTTAAATCAGTACGCTGAACACTATTGAAATTAAAATCTGTCAAAAGAACTAGCCCCTGCATACAACCAAATACACCCATGCGCCCGATAAGTTCATAATGTCATTTCAAATAGAATTCCACATTAGGATAGGATTTAGCTATAGCAATCACTTGGTAAAATTAAGTTATGCTGACTTCCGATGGTATACCCTCAGCAATGCTGCCAAGTAATATGTCCCGTTTTAAAATAGTTTGGAAAAGCTGCATTCTCCGCCCCAGAAAGGGCGAATATACAACCAGGAAGCCCTCCAATGAGGACAAAAACATCCTTTTAGGGTTCACAGAACAAAGGAAGGAAGTGCATTAAAAATGTATGATTTTATAGTAGATAATATGCATACACTAATGCCTTCCATCTTTTGTTGTGATTGTTTTCTAGCCTGGCCAGGTGTGAAGCAACTTTTAAAACAACAAATCATAGCAATACACCCTACTTATATCGTGAACTAGGTAATGAGAATACATAGGTTTGGTTGAGAGGGTTATGTGCTGCCTTAAAAGTTGTGAATGATCTGTGGCCCAATAGCCGTATGACTGTCTACAGTGTATCGACGATATGTCTGTTCCTGAGACTGCATATCTTGGGTCGAGATCCACTTACAGTGGAAACGCACCTTCTGAAGCAGAGGTGAACTGGAATTTAAAAAGCCTAATCAGGCCGTTGCTTTGTTTCCTTGTGAGCTAATCAACCATTAATTCATCCGTACATCCATGAAAAAACCAATGGCCAATGAATTGTTAACGTCCTTAATCTAGATTCCCGGAAAGTCTCGATATCAAGTCCCAAGAGAGTGGACAGATATCAGGCAGTATATATTGTCCAGTGGGCAAATAGATAAGTGGATAAACGGACAGGTAGGTAGCCAGAATGCAAGGAAACAATCAGAACATAGATACCAAAATTTAATTATTGAGGGAAAAAGTATACAGCAAAATTAGAAAATAAAAAGGGAAATGGATAAATAGACTGATCACGTCCTCTGTATGTGTGTATTTATTTGTGTATATCGTTACAAATAAGTATATTTTCAGGATGAATAATTAATTTATCTTGCAATCTTGCCTTTATAATGGAAGAGCCATGGCCCAAGGCAATTGGTCTAGAGGCGACGTCCTCTCTTGGCTTGCCAGACAGCAAGAAGGCCTGATAACTTTTACGGTCATTCTTGGTCCGACCATTGGTCTCCACATGCGGTGGGTTACTCATTTTCTTGGCCGCCAAAGAGGAAAGGCTGGTGTGAAAAAAGAGCGGAAACAGAGTGGACAGAATAAGTTTTGCTGTTAAGATGAGCGAGTCTTTAGTGAAAATTGAAATGTAGCGAAGCTCTAAATACTGTTCATCATTTGTATTAAGTGTTCAGTTATTCCATAGAGCATTAGATGGGTGATATAAAGGTATGCAAATCAATTGACACTCTTACGATATAACGATATTTGCAGAATGTTACTAAATCGAATGTGTTGAAACACTACTTCAGAAAAATGTTTTATGTAAGAATATAAATAACAAACAAGTTATTCCGTTTTATTGAAGACAAAGTATGATGGCCTTAAGTTGGATATCTCCCCACTTCAGCATCATTAATCTATTCCTTGAAAGTATACTTTTGGTAAACATAATTAGGGTCTCACAAATGGAAATACAGAACTGGAGCAAAACCTTTTTAGTTCGCTATTATCACATACGTCAAAGTCGGATATCTCCCCATTCCAGCATCCTTGATCTATTCCTTGAAAGTATACTTCTGGTAAACATAATTAGGGTCTCACAAATGGAAATACAGAACTGGAGCAAAACCTTTTTAGTTCGCTATTATCACATACGTCGTCATCAATGGAATAGGTTCAAAGACCAAATTTGGCGATTCAGCTTTAGAAAATGTTGGTGGATGACTCGTTTCCAGAATGTTGCTTGCCAAAATCAGTCGGAACTATGTGGAGAGTTGTACTTCTCCAAATCCAGCGAATCGCAGCAAGGTGCTGGCTTTATCCGGCCTCTTTGTGTCCGAATGGAAGTGAACCATACTAATTGATATCAACACGTGTACTCAGTAGATGCACCAGTTATGCTGAGCTCCTGCACGATCACTTTGTCTGCTTTACATCGCCTCGTCAAATTGACGAAGCGGGAGTGTGTGAGCTTGGTTATGATGTAGTTCGAGAAGAGCCTGCAAATCTACTTTCTAAACCAAAACGATCACACACAAACACACACACACACTTAGCTGGTCATCCATAAATGCATGCTCTGGGCCACAGCAGCAGCAGCCATCAGCCTCAACGAGAAAAGATCGAGTGTGAAAAGCGGCTTCAAACCAAGGCGACACCGCGAGCATGATTTAACACCAAACCTAGATTGAGAAAATGACCGACTCAACTTGATTTACTGCAAGTGTGGGTATTCGGCATAGAATGAAATTGTGAATTGTTCTTGCCAAATACGTTTACTCTCTGAGTGGCGCAGCTTGCTTGAACTTCAGAGCGGGTTAAAAAGCAACCTTAAAGCCGTCTGAATGGCACAAATTAAGGAGGGATATAAGTACTTAAAATAAAATAGCCATAAGAAATGAAAACGAATGCATGCTCATTATTTTTTTTGAAGTCCCCAAAGCCAAATTTGGGAGTATTTGCATTTTCTCGTTGAAGTCACTAGCTGGGCA